ATCATGTTCAGCCGAGTTTCAGATCGGCCCAATAGACCTATGTTCCACAGTCTAAAGCAGTGACACATAATTGACCATATCAAAGCCGTTGAGCCAGAATTTACTATCATTCGGCTCTCAATGGATTACAAGTGTACCCTTGTGGGACATGATCCAAGTCAATTACATGGGTCATCTCAAAGCATATGTGCACTGGCTCTTCCAAACTCGGATAATGCATTTGGAATAGTTGCTTCTCATATAAAATAAAAATGCACAATTCATGCAATGGTCTCGTATAAGGATACAGACTTATGTCCCATAAGTTTTCACCATTCCATACTGGATAAATACTGAATAGGTACTCGGGTTCAACTTTTCTCATTTGGATTCTCCAAGCCCTGGCCGATTGTAGTTAAACATGAGGCTAACCTATAAAATCTTGACTAGGAGGTGACCCTCTCACCTCTTTGAGAAATTGCTTTTTCAACACGTGAACTCTCAATGCCTCATGCGTACCCGGGGTAAAAGAATTTGGGTTCAATTTCGTAAGACGTCAATATTTCAATCTCTCAATCAATCCCACAGAATGAGAGATTACTGGAATTTAAGCCTTGATAGGCCATATTTCTAACAAGACCTACCCAACTAGACCGATTGAACTGGCCAGTTTATCGATTACTCGAATGCAGCCCTTGTCCAGTTTCCAAGGCCGGTTCAATTTATCGCACACTCAATGTTGTTGTCTTTGTTTCAATGCAAAAAAGCTTTTTGATCCCTAGTCCACTTGGAAAACCTATATTGATCTCTTCATACTTTCTCTCTCCACTCTAATACTTTTTCTTCACTCTCTTTCCATATCTACACTATCGTCTCTCCCCATTCGTATAAGTCTCTTTTGGCTTCCATCTTCCTCTACCCATTTCCTTCTCGTTATCTATATCATATTATCCTGTCTAGAGATTGATGGCATTTAACCTCGTGGTAGGAATTTGTCTTTAGGTTTCATCGAAATATTATCCAAACATCAAAAATCCAATTTGTATAAGCTTTTTTTTACAATAATTATAGGAAGATACTACAAAACGCTTATAGGCGAAAATAAACAGTTATTTCACCTATCCTCATCACCGTCCAAAGTTCATCACACGGTCACGATTGTCTGGTAGTATTTCATTTTTTTTCTACAAATCTGAGTGATTTAAAATTTGGAACGTGTATTCATAAAAAATATGCGAATCTACGAAAAATATCAAAAAAATATTTCACATAAAATATATAGATCAAAATACCCCCGAAACATCTTGGGTCATTTTGGTCAATTTATTTTTTACGAATTATTATTTTTATATTTTTATTAAGTGCGTCTCACTAAGATACATACGCGCGTTAAATTTCAAGTCATTTTGATTTATAGAAAAAAAATGAAAAATAAAATACTAACGAACAGTCGTGACCGTACGATGGATTTTGGACGGTGATGATGGTAGGTAAAATCATTGTTTTTTTTGCCTATAGGCGTTGAGAAGACTTTTCCATAAATATATTTCACAAAAAAGTAATTTTTTGGCTAATTTCTTTTAAAGATCCACAAAGGGCCAGAAGTAAAGTATTTTTAAACTTTGTTTTGGGCCGTTCGGTTCAATTCAATCACATTATGATATTTGCACAGTTTTTGAGTTACAAAATCATTGATCTATAGAGGTGGCAACGGGTTGGGTGCAGTAGGACCTGGACTTGGACTCAAATAGTATTTGAGTCCAAACTTTGGACTCATACCCAGACTCATCAGGATCTTAGGTCTATTCGTCAAGTCTCGAGTTTGGTCGGATCCATTGCCACCCTATGATTATAAGCTTATTTTATATTTTTGTTTGCCTTTATTTTTACCATCATATACCTTATGACTATGAACTTTTTTTTTTTCTTCTAATGATATGTAAATGTTGCCAATATTGTGATAATATAAACATCTAGTACGTGCCGAAAAACATATGATTGCCATCATATATCCTATGACTACAAGTACGGGTCGGGTCCAACTGGACTTGGACCCATACCGAGACCCAAATAATATTCGGGTCCAAAATTTGAACCCATAATTGGACCTAAGCTCAGGTTTACTCGTCAAGTCCCAAGTTTGGTCCGGTCCTTTGCCACCCCTATTGATCTATAACCGAAGTACTTTTTGAGTGACTGTGATCATATATCCATGTTTAAAACAGATTTGAAGGGGGGGCCATTTGCGAACGACCCCGTTTAAACTTCTGCAAAATCTCAAATGTGTCGAAACCAGAGTTTAAAAAATCGCTGAGTCGAGCCGGACGAGTCCGGTTCGACTCGGAATTCACGAAAAAGGTACCGGATCGGTTCAAAAACCAGGAATCGTCCGGTTCTAGGGAGAACCGGACGATTCCGCACAGTGACTCGCCGATTCACTGTGCGGAATCGGCGAGTCCGTGAAGAACACGGGTTGCACAGTGTTCTTCACGGATTTTTTCAAATTTGTCATTTTTTGATCATTTTTTTTGTTTTTTTCGGCATGTGATCTGTTTTGCAGGCTGTAAACAGCTTTATTCAGATTTTTCAAGGATTAAATGGTGGAAAAATTGGTTGTTTTTGGATCAAGAAAAATTCGGGGTTTAGGGTTTCCGTCATTTCTGAAATTTCATGCCAAATAGGGCATGAATCTTTCAAAATTTGTAGGCATATTGATCTTAAAGCTGTGAATCAA